CCCGGCAGCGGCCCCGCGCGACCCGCCGGGCCGCAGCTGCGCGCGCTGCACTGGAAGAAGGTGCAGCCGTCTGGGAAGGGGACGCTCTGGGCGTCGCTGCCGAGGGCGCCCCCCATCGACGAGGCGGCACTGCGCGAGCTGTTCACCGTGAAGGCCGCGGGCGGGCAAAAGCCGACCGCGGCCCCCGCCGGCGGCGGCGCGGGCGGCAGTGCTGTCAAGAAGGAGCAGCAGCCGGCGTTGCTCGACGTGAAGCGCTCCAACCAGATCCAGATCGCGCTCGCGAAGTTCAAGGGGCGCGGCATCCTCGCCGCGGTGCTCGCGCTGGACGAGACGGTCCGCAAGCCGAGGACGGCATCGGTGACACACACACACACCCGTGGCACTCGCCCGTGACATGTCCGAGACGTGTCCCCCCGCAGGTGCTCAAGCAGGACGACATCGCGCGGCTGCGAGAGTGCTCGCCCTCGGCCGAGGAGGCCGAGATGCTCTCTCCGTTCGCCGAGGACCCGCGTCTCAAGGAGACGGTGCGGTGGGGCCCTGCCGAGTCCTTCCTGCTCGACATGACCACCGTGCCGCGCCTGAGCCAGCGGCTCGCCTGCTTCCTGTCGAAGCTCACCTTCGAGCAGCGGAAGAAGGACGCCGAGGCGCAAGTCGAGGCGATCAACAAGGCGGTCCAGTGCCTGCGCGGCTCGAAGACGCTGCCTCTCCTCCTCGCGCTCGTGCTTCAGGTGGGCAACGCGCTCAACGCTGGCACGCCGCGCGGCGCCGCCGCCGGCTTCACCTCTGAGGCGCTCGGGAAGCTCGCTGAGACGAAGAGCACCGTCTCCGACGCGCGGCCCGCGCAGACGTCGCTGCTGCACTACGTCGCCCGCGTCGCGCCGGCCGAGAGCAGCAAGCAGCTGCGGCTGGAGCTGCGCGACCTCGAGGAGGCTGCGACGCTCTCGTCCGCCGGCGTGGCCGAGGAGCTCGACGGGCTCTGCAAGGAGCTCGACGCGCTCGGCAGCGAGCTCTCGAGCCCCGAGTATGGTGGCAAGGGCGACGGGTTCGTCGCCGCGCTCGGCAGCTGGCGCGGGGCGGCGGCCGAGAAGGTGGAGACCCTCCGCGCTAGGGTGGAAGGCATGGTCTCCGGCCTGCAGCAGCTGCACGCCTACTGGGGCGAGCCGTACGTCGCGTCGGAGGCGGAGGCGCTGCTCTCGCGCGTCCACTCCTTCGCCGCCTCGTTTGGGAAGGCGTGCCCCCGAGATGACTCGAGATCACCAGAGATCACCCGAGATCACCCCAGATCACCCCAGATCACCCCAGATCACCCCAGATCACCCCAGATCACCCCAGATCACCCCAGATCACCCGAGATCACCCCAGATCACCCCAGATCACCCCAGATCACCCCAGATCACCCGAGATCACCCGAGATCACCCGAGATCACTTGAGATCACCCGAGATCACCCGCCTCGCCTCGGCAGGCGTGCCGCGACAATGAGCGCGAGGACCACATGCGCAAGAAGCGCGCCGAGGCCAAGGCGGCCGCCGCCAAGCGCGCGCAGGCCAAGGGGCCCTCGCGGCCCTCCCAGGCGGGGGCGGCCAAGCCGGCCGCGCGCGCGCAGCCGGCCGCACGCAGCGCCATGGGCAACATCCAGATGTCGCTCAAGCGGGGCGAGTTTGAAAACATGAAGAAGCTGCAGTCCGAGCTGCAGTCCAAGATCCAGTCGCGCCGGACGTACACCGCGGGCGCCCATGGAGGCCGCTAGCTCCTGGCCCCCGGCCTCGGCGCGGCGGCCGTCAGGCGCGAGAGGCTCAGCTCGAGCTCGCCACCTCTCCTACGTGCGCCCGGCCGCCCCCTCTGGGACAGGAGCGAGGGGCAGAGGAACGAAGCGGTGTGTGTGCGCGCGTGTCCGTGTGTGTGTGTGCGAAAAGAATTAGTATCGCGCTCTAAAAAAATCTCGGCGCTCGAAAAACGAAAAGAAAACTCCGCGCCCAGTTTGGTGTTTGCTTGGCCTTGGGGGCCTGTCGCCCTCGCTCCGATTACGCCGCCGCAACCCTGGCTGCCAAAATGCATAGGCAGGACACACGCGACACGGGTGGCTGCATACGAGTAGCCTTCGCCAACCCCTCATGTGCGCCCCTCATGTTAGCGCGCGGCTCTGCTCGCGCACGAAGCGGATGGACTTGAGCAGCCGGTGCACTTTCGCCTCCTCCTGCGCCGCCGTGCTCTGCTGCGATGGCGGCGGTGCGGCCGGCCGCGGCGCGTCGCCGTCCACCGCCTTGCCTTCCACGGTGCCCCCACCGTCCGGCGCCGCAAGGTTTGCCCGCTTGGTGGGTGGGGTCATGTCCTCTGCAAGGTGGTCGAGCTCGCCCATGCGGCGCTTTCCGGCGGCCCTCGAGCTTGGTGCCGTCCTCGGAAGGTGACCGTCGCTGCTTCCGCCACTGCCACTGCCGCCGCCATTGCTCTCGGCACCAGCGCCGCTGCGACCGCTGCCTTGCGAGGGCGCCCCCGGGGTGGACGGTGCCGTTGCCTCGCACTCGCCGCACGCATTGAGGGCGAGCACGCTCCCGGCACCACCACCAGCGGCCGACTCGCCCGCGCCGCTGCTGCTGCCTGTGCCGGGCCCGCGGCTGCTGCTACCTGTGCCAGTGCCCGACGCCGCGGCTGGAGCGGCTGGAGGAGGGCCACCGCCGCCGTTGATCAGGTGGAGCTCTTCCTCGAGTGTGCCCTTCATCAGCAGCTGGGCGACGTGGACGGACCCGGTGGCGCCCATGCGGTAGGCGCGCGCGACCAGCTGGTGCTCGACCGCTGGGTCCCACACCTTTGCGTGTTCACGGCAAGAGCAGCGGTCGTGAAAAAGAAGGGGAAGGACAGGGCGAAACGTGGTGGGGTGGCTGTGCACGCGTTGCTCTCGTGCTCTCTAGGTGGGTGGGCGTCCCCCCTCAACACACACAGCACACCTGGTCGGCGAGGAAGATGTGCGTGAGCATGGACAGGTCGAGGCCGTGCGAGCCGTCGCGCGTGAGGAGCAGCACGAAGCAGTCGACCGGGCGCGCCTCCCACGGCGCGGCGTCAGGCATGCGCGCACCGCACTTTCGGAAGTTGGACAACCGGCCTCCCACCCACGGCCCGAAGCCGCCGGTGAGCGGGGAGCGCACGCGCGTCTCAATCGGCATGCCGACCGTCCACACGGTGCCCTGCAGGAAGCCGAGCTCCCCCACTCGCCGTGCGTCCTCCTCGCTGACCGTGACGGAGAAGCTCGCCTGCCCGTCGGCGAGGTGCATGCCGGGAGGAGCGTGCTCGGCGGAAATCTCGACGACGAGATGCCGCCCGTAGCAGCGCGTCTCGGGGAACTCCACCTCGCGCCCGCCCGCCGCGCGTGCGCCGTCGTCGTGCCGCATCGGGCACTGCGCGCACCGCCAGTAGCGCACGCGGCCGGAGCGGAACTTGTCGAGCTCAGAGTTGCGCCAGCGACCCCAGAACTGGCTGATGGCATCGTCGCCGAAGCGCAAGTACAGAAAGTGTCCCAGCTGGTCGAGGGTCTTGCGCCGCTCCGAATACACCGCCACGCGGACCGGCCGGCTGTCGTGGCCCGGCGGGTACGGCCGGCCCGCCGCGTGCGCCGCGCGTGCCTCGCGCTCGACGCGCCGGAGCTCGGCGATCCCATCGATGATGTAACTCGCCTTTGTATGGCTGAGCGCTCCGTTTCCGCCGCCGCCGCCGCCGCCGCCTCCCGCTGTGCTCGAGGCCGCCTCTGCGCCCGACGAAGACGATGTGGGCACCGTCGACAGCGTGGTGCTGCCGCTGGGCGCCACAGCCGAGAGCGACGACGGTCCGGCACCAACGCCGGCCTTGATGCGCGTCTCCTCCCGCCGCTGCTTCGCATACGACTCGGCGAGCGCGCGCGCCTCCGCCTCGCGCAGCGTCTCGGCCCACTGCAAGTCGAACCCGGGCTGCAGGTACGCAAAGCCGTCGAGCGGGTGTGCCTCCGTCGGCACCTTGGGCGCTTGGTGGGAGCAGCGCACGTCGTCACACTTTGGGCACGTGTCGTAGCGCACCGGCGGCAGAGCAATCTCGCACACGGGGCACGCACTGAGCGGCCCGCTCGCCTCGACACTCGCCTCGACGCACTCGGGGCAGACCAGGTGGCCGCAGAGTGGGAAGACGAGCTGCAGCAGCAGCGGCAGCGAGCACTTGTCGCACGGCAGAGGCTCGCCCGCCTGCGCGGCGTCCATGAAGGCGCGGCAGCGCGCGACCGCGTGCGGCGGCGCGTGGTAGCGCTCGTTGAGCCACTCGACCGCCTCCGAATAAAACTCGGGCGAGAGGGTGGCGACCTGCTTGCCGCCGCCGTTGCACGTCAGCCGGATGTTCTCGATGGCCGCGCGCGCAGACTTCTTGTTGGCGTGGTGCAACAGCGACACGTCCGCACCCGCACCGCGCTCGGCGCCCTCGAGCGACGTGAGCACGATGTTGGCGCGGATGTAAGAAACGAGGCTGTTGTAGCTCAGCCGCTCGCTGGGCGACGTCTCGAGGACGACGGTCGCGCGCCTCGGAGGCGGCACCGAGATGTGCCGCTTCAGGTGCCGGATCATGCGCGGGGCGAGGAAGCCGACGACGGCCGCACGCGCGGCGGCGTGCTCGGCCGTTTGGGAGGCGGCCGAGCCAGCGCCGGTACGGAGGAGCCGGCGTGCGAGCGGCGGCCACTCGGCGCGTGCAGGGTCGCCGAGCACGCCGAGGAGCGATCCGAGGGAGCTGAGGCCGTCGGCGTCGGACGTCTCCTTTGCAGGAGTCCCCGTGAGCAGCCACCGACGCTCCGCCGGCAGCGCTTGAAGCAGCAGCTTCGTGTGAGTGAGGGCGCCGCCGCCGAGGGAGTGGCCCTCGTCGCAAACGACGCGGAGCCACTTGACCGCGCACAGCACGGAGGCGCCGGCCGCGTGCCGCTGCTCCAGCGAGAGACGCTCGGCGGGCAGCACGACGACGGACGCCGCCGCCAGCCGCTCCGCCGACCACAGACTGGCGAGGTCGCCGAGACGCCCGCCGCCGCCGCCACGCCGCCCGCCGCCGCCGCCGCCGCCGCCCGAGTTGCCCCTTTGGTCGGCGAACGGGTCGATCAGGACCTCTCCGGGTAAGCCGCCGCCGTCGGCCTTCACGTGCCACTCGAGCTGCTCGCGCCAGTGCTGCACCTGCGAGCTGAACGCACCAGCCTCGGGGCGGGAATGCGGTCTCGTGCAGTGCACTCGTAGCACCGCGTGAAGAGGAATACAGTGCATAGAGCCAAATACGGTCGAACTTAGCGGGATCCTAGCCCTCTCGAGCGCCGGTTGGAATACACGACTGCGTACTCCGCTTCTAGGCTGCTGCACGAGCGGGCGCGGCGCGATCACCAGCGTCGCACGCGAGCGCCGCGGTGGCGGCGGCGCGTCGCCGTCGGGCGTGTGCGCGTCGAGCGCCTCGTCGACGGCGGTCCGCAGCCGCAAGGCATCCGCCACGAGAGCCGCGGCCGCCGGCGCACCCGACGGGTGGTGCGCGATTGCGGCCGCGCTCGACCAGTAGGCCCGCGCCGCGTCCGGCACCGCGCGCACCGCGGCGTCGAGGCCGGCGCGAGTAGCGAGCGTCGATATCTGCGCATCGTGGCTGATCTCGTCGAAGTCGATGGGTGGCGCGCGGCCCAAGGTTTCGGCATACTGCGGCAGTGCCGCCGCTGCACGCCGCACGCCGCGGCCGAGCAGCGCATACTCGCGCGGGCAGCTCGTGCGCACTTGCTTGAGGATGGAGTAGACGAGCTCGCGGCGGTAGAGGAAGGCGAGGCCCGCCCACTTGGCCTCGGCATTCACGCGCCGGCGCTCGGCCGCGTCGGGCTGGCGCGCCGTCCACGCACCGGCCGTCTTGCAGATGAGCGCCAGCAGCGTGACCGTCTTGCCGGTGCCCGGCTCGTCGGCAAGGATGCCACCGCGTCGACTGCTGGCCTCGCCGCGCTGCAGGAACGCGACGGACGCGCGCTGGTGCGGATAGAGCCGCAGCTTGATGCCGGGATAGGTGTGCGCGACGACGGCCGCCAACCCGGAGCACGTGCAGCCGAGCGCAGCAATTTCGTTGGCGCGCAGCCATCCAGTGAGGTTGTCGAGCACGTGCGCGTCCAGCGTGACTGGAACCATTTCCGTGTCCTCTGCCCGCGGGTCGCCGCTGGCTGCTGCTGCCCCTCGCCGCGGATGAAAAGTGAAGCCCATGTTCTCGTCAGGAGCTGGCCTGGGGACCGCTCCTAGATCCTCCAGGACCTCGTTGAGGCGCTGCGGCGGCATGCTGGACGAGATGTGTCTCGCGCCGCCTTGCGGGGAGCCAATGTGTCGTAAACAAGAAAAACCTGTAACAACAAGTCGTTTTAGGTGTGTTGTTGGCAAGTCGTGGTTTCGTATCAAGAATACTCACTCACTCACACACACACACACACACACTCACTCACTCCCACACCGCTCACGCGCACTGGGCCTTGCACTTTTAATGCCGTGGGGCTCCTGTCGTCTAGACGTTGAGTCGCGAGGGTCGCCCCCCCCCCCCCCCCCCTCCCCGCAGACCTCGCCTTTTACTTTGGCATAACGAACAGTGTCTCCTCTCGGCTCCTGCACGCCTGCCCTTCACCGCACGGCTACTCCGTCGACAGACTACCTCCGACATCACCACATATGGCCTACGTACTCGCTGCTGACCGCGCAGCCTTTCCGGAAGCGCCGCTGGTGCCTGGCAAGCCGCTCACCGTCGGCCGGAAGA